AAACCAAATTTGATAAAATTCACTTGGTAAGTATGATTGTTGTATCTGTGCTGCAGCTCACCATAGAGTTGACCTTGTTTCATATAGTATGTTTATTGTAGAAAATACGAATTGTATACCTGTGAGCATATACTTATTTTAAAAGGTACACAGTCATTCCAAGTTTGGAAAAGTCTGTATCTCACCATTAAGAGTAAAAAATAGCTGACGAAATAGTAAGTCAACTGGTAAAAGTTTTATGAATGAAGTGCAGAAGACTGGATGTAGATAGAATTCAAGTATGTAGCTACAATAGTGTAATCTTTAATGTCACTGAAGGTGTTCTGTCATTTACTATACAATGGCATATACTAGTTTAAATGTAAATATTGGACGTAAACCAGTAAAAGAGATCCTCTTTACCTTCCATTTTAAATGTGGCAATAGCTCACTAAAAAGTACCATCCAACCATCTACCCCTGTTTTCATCAAGTCTCATTGTTCCCATTTACTTATTTATTTAGTCATGGCAGCTTTGATTACTGAAACTGGCAGTTATTTGTCCCCAGTTTCCTCTCTTGTATTTATGGCATGCGTTCACCTCAGACAATGGAAATAGATCAGTTTCTTCACTGTTACTAGTCACTGGCTGCCATGCTCTGCCAAATTGCTACAACAAATGAGTTGCAGGGGATTGTTTAGTCCAAATGATTAGATTTAGGAAAGAAAAAGTGCACACAAATTAGAATTCTTCCTGCTAGCATCAGGCAACATGCAGTAATATTTTAAAACAGAAACCGTGTGATTTCTATACTGCCTGATTAATTCTGCCCTCATACTTTTTTCCCTTCTATTTAAGTTCTTACACTGCACTGATAACAGTATTTGATAAGTGCATCCCAGTAGGGCACTAAGCAGTGAAACGAGCATCTGTCATCAGTAAGTTCACTCTCATTCTATCTCCTCCCAGTCAGAACAGAGATTGAATCTTTAGGCATGTGTTTAATTTTATGACTGTGGTTATTTCTGTGGAACTACTCAATGCATATAAATAAACACACGGCCGCTCTCGCGGGTCTCCGCCCCTGCGCCTCTCCGCGCCGTTCCTCGCCCGGCGGCGCCGTACTCCGCTCTCCGTGCATCCCCTTCCGTCCCCAGCCCGTCAAGGCTCCTGCCGGGGAGCGAGGGGGGCGAAACAGTAGGTTTATGACGGAGAGCTTCAGGAATTAGAAATAATAATCCAAGGACTTAAAAAACCCCACCCGCGGCCCGACACCACCCCCCAGCTGCGCGGGGCCGCCGCGTCCTTCCCACCCGCGCGCTCTTCCCTTCGCGTGTTCCCGCTCAGGGCTAATCTCTGGGAAGGCACGACCATTGTCGCCCCTCACTGCGCATTCCAGCGGCGATTCCCAGCAGCAGATGCTCCCTGCCTACTTAGAAAAACGTATTTTCGGCTCTCATCATAAAGCCCTGCGTGGTTTTCTTTCCCTCGGTAGCACAATAGCTACTTTCAGACAGACGCAACTCCTCCGCTCCCCCCAGGAAAAAGCTGCTTCACGTAGCTGATGTGGCACAAAGCAAACATACCTGATCTCCTTGATGCTCTCGAGTTTGCACATAATTTCTTGCTCATCTGCCATGCTTTTCACTCACGATTTAAACCTCCGGTGAAATGGACAAAATGCCAGGGGGAAAAAAAAAAGAAAAAAACATACAATAGACACAATGTAGTCACCCCCTCCAAGCGTTCGATCTCTGAGCCTGTGCGGCAGCGCCAGTGGGAGCTCTGGGACTTGGAGTCCGGCTGCCCGCCGTTGCCTCGGCAGAGAGACGGCGGGAGGACCACAACACCCACAAGGCAGAGCAGAGCTTTCCTGCCCTTCTTCCTGCAACTATATTTTAAATCAATTTGTCACACCTCATTATGTCAAATGTTGTTAGGAGTGCAAAAAGCGCAGAGGCTTCCTCCCGAGATCTGTGCGTTGTTTAGCATTTCATTACAATCATCGAATACGCGCTAGGAGACTGCTGAATGAGCTCGCGATTTTGATTTAAAACTTTGATACAAAGGTATGCTGTAGCCATTATTACTACCCTGCTGTTACCTACTAGATGCTCTGAGTGATGTGACTGTGTCTGGAGTTCGGAAAAAAAGACATATTTTGTTCCTTAGGTTTTTCTTTTTTTAGTTCTGCTACTATATATAGCACTTGTAACTGTGGAAAATAAAAACTGAATGTAAATAAAACTGTTGGATTGAGGGAAGTGACCATTTGTCTTTCTATGGACATTCTAGACAAAAATATCAGAGCACTTCGCAGAGATTGATGAATAGACTCACTGTCTTTCCTCAGCCAGGTAATTATTTTCTTCAGCTTCTATAATGCACTAAATACTCTGTTTTAAGTTATGAAAAAAACCTGTTGTATCTCAACACTTTGGAAAGTCTCTTCCAGGCTCTGTCCTAAGGGACCCACAGTGTAAATTCATGATCCTTCACCTGTTTGCTGGCGTTTATCAGCTCTGATGATCATGCTGGGCTGAATGGTCAGCACATTCAGATGAATGTTAAGCTCAAGGTCTAGACAGTCAGTAGGGAAATCAGATTATGAAACATAAACTTCTGTGTGTTACAAATGCACAAAGAGCAGTACCGTAGTCTTAGCGAATATAGTGGACCACTCCTGAGTCAGTAGTGTGAGGCTGATGAGAACAGGTCAATTATTCTGGAATTTATTACATAAATGGAATATGGAAGGCACTGGAAGTACTTAACCTCTGCTCAGCACTGATCAAATTTGCTGGTGGTTGGTCTGGGGCTCTGAAAAGGAGGTGAAAAATAAAAATAGACAGAATGCAGAGAAGAGCAATGAAAATAGTAAGAGTTTTGGGGAATTTGGCTGAATGCAACACAGTGTGGCCATATTTATATGGCATGTGGTAGATCTGCTTGAGTTAGAGCTTATGGTTGCAGAACTTGAGCCAATTGTATCTACAGTTGCAGACTGAAGGGCAAGTGGTCCCCCTCATGTATGAATATCTGTGCCTGGAAAGCTAACAAACTGCAGTATGAGGTAATAAGCAGACAGTGTGACCCGTCGGAGTGTTGTGCTCTGGCTCCAGCACTAAGCAAATAGGATGGTATAGATGTAGTTCATAATAATAATAATAATAATAATAATAATAATAATAATAATAATAATAATAGCCTTTCAGTGTGAAAAAGGTATTAGAGGAGCCATCAGAGCAAATAATCTGCTAGGTCAGCTGGGAAGGAAGTCTAAAAAGTAATCTATTTCCTGAGTAACAGAGAAAATTTAGGACAGGTTTCAGTAAAATGTCCAACTACAGAGTGCTTCACTGGGAAGGGTCGTCTGGGAGGTGGAGGAGTCTCCATATTGCTTTTAAGAACTACTTAGATAAAGGTGTCTTCATACTAATCCAGCTTCTGGAGCTCCTTGCTTTGAGGTAGGGGTTTTGAGCTGATCGGGGTTGAGTTACCCTTACAAATGGTAACACAGCCCACCACTACAGTGACCTAGTCCTGCTTCTTCAGTGACCTCTTAACATGGCCAGGGGCCTGGGGACTGGATGAGCTGCCACACGTGAGCATGGATTTAAGTGTCTGCATTAGGTTCTGGGGTCAGAGAGTACACTCTTGAGAAGGCTGAAAAATGAAAGAGTGTGGCCTGGCAGAGGAGGACCTCTCACCAGGAGTCACTGAGAATGAAAAAGGGTAGACAACCAGGAGGGCTTGTCTGGAGAAGGGATGGGGCCTGAGTCTGGAGTGGCAGCTGGGAGGAAGGCAGGCAAACAGATCTGAAAATAAAGCTAATTTGGAATTTTTGTCCACTCAAGGCTTCAAAGGGAGAACTTCTAATTCTCTGTAAATATTTCTAGTCCTGTTAATTTATTTTAAAGAAACTGAGGTGTGTTCTCATTGAGTTGCTGATGCATTTATATCAAATATTGACCATAACTTTCCCATTTATTGCCATGATAAGGAATTGGTCTTCTCTTGTGCACTCAGCTGAGCTAAAACTAACACTGCAATAAAAATATCGCTTGCTACCTTTGGAAATTACATGCATAGTCTAAAACAAATACAGAAAACCCACTGAGAAACCAGGCACAAAAATGAAAGCAAAAAAAGAAAACCACTAAATGTTCTGTGTAACAAAAGAGGTTTAGGCCTGTAGAAGGGAATGTGACAGGCTAGCATTCCCTCTGCCTTCTCTGGAGTTCTTCTTAAGAAGGAAGAAAAGGCTTAAATTCCTGATACCAGGCCAGACTCCAAAGAACTTTTGCTAGCATAAACCTTCTCTGCCCTGCCCTCCTTTCCTGATCATGATGTTTAAGCGAATGTTTTGTAACTGAGGTGCAAATGTTTATCAGTGAGATTTTGTTTTTCTTACACAAATTATACTGAATGATCAGTGTAATGTGATGCAGATCAGACCCTGTCCCAGGCAGTGTGAGAAGTTGAAACTCCCCAGAGATGTAGTTTGGCCCTTTTTTTTTTTTTTTCTGCTTTCACTGATCATTGGAAATGAATGATTCAGGAAATCAGGTCAGCCATAAAAACTCTTCAGCACTTGAGGATGACATAAGAACCAATGCACTGCCGCTTTCTGCTCAGTTTTTTCGCCAATAATAATAGCTTGAATATCTTTCAAAATGGTTTTAATACCTAGTGAAGTAAACAGGAATTTGGAATGAATGCAGACTCCAGTATCAGACCCCCATTTATTTAAAAAATTGGGTGTTTTAATAGCAAAAAATGATTCGTTTTCATTAAGCACAGGGAAGCAGGGTTTGGGGGGTTTCCCTTTTGGTTTGTGTTCTCCAACATGGTCTTTTCTATTCTTATGTTCTCTGTGGCAGTCTGTTTTCTCTAAGTGCTTTTACTGCTGCTTCTATTTACAGATGGTGTCCCTTGTGCTGCTTTGGAACAGGAACCCCATTTTTTATACACCTGTAAAGTAATATAAATTTGCATGAGATTATGAAGCCAGCATAAATCTCAGAAACTAATGCCGTGTATTGCTGCAATACTTGGTAACTGAACTCACATAGTCTTAGGTAAAATGAGGTAAAATGGCTGTTTCTGAGCTAAAATCTGTCTTGGAAACTCTTTGCATGCCACAGTCTGCAGCATTTCACATGGAAGATTTGCACAGTATAATGGGTTTTGAGGTCTTTGGAATCACCCTTACTAATTTTCTACCCATACGGGTTTTTTTTCAGGGAAGTTGTAAACTGAAGCTGTGGAGAGGCTTAGATGAGGGTGATGGAGTTGGAAGAAATAAAAAAAAAAACAAACAGAAAATAGGCTTCAGAGCTGAGCTGCTGTGACTGAGGTTTTCCCTTAGTCTGATGCAGGGAAGTTCCTAATGGCTGAAGTAAACAGCTCCGAACTGAGATTCCTGAATAATCACAGTTAGGGAAAATAGCTGAATTGATTTTTATATGTCTTGCCTTTCACTCTCTTAACCATAATACAGATAAATCCCTTGATGGATTGCTTTGGACTAGCCACTGAAGCACCTGAGTTGATACAGGATGTGAAACAAACCGCATTCTCTCAAGAATTAATAGTGGATAGTTTGATTACTTTTTTACAATTCATTGGTAATCTGGTATTTGATTTTTGAGAAATATTTTTCATGACAGTAGCAGTGTCAGCTCTGAGACAATGAGAGTTGTAGGCAGTTGGTATCTGAACAGTGAGATCTTCCCCTCATGAATTTCAACACATTAGTGTCTGCAGTCTTTAACTATGGAGCAGGCTCCCTTCAAAATTAACACTGTAGAAATCCAAGGACAAATGCTGGTGGTTCCTGTTCAAAAAAATTTACCTAAATATAAGGCAAGAACTAAGAAGAGAGAATGAATAAAAAAAGATGAGAGCACTGGACATCGTAAGAAGCAGTGTCTGAGGTTCACCTAATGCCTGAGCAAGTGGCAGTAGTGATCAAACATTCCCCATCACAAAAAAAAAAAAAATGTTGATAATCTATTTATCACTAATTGTTAGTCAAAGAGAGTTAAGAACTCTGATGACTTGCACAAAACATCTACCATCTTTTTCCATCAATTCCACTAGACAATAAATTAAGAAATAACTTGAAGGTTTCAAGCATTATGAAAAATATTTCAGAGTCTCTTATGAATATTCCAAGTAATGATTTTGAGGATTTATCTGTATTATACAAATCCAAGTTTTGCAATTGGACCCTTGCTGACATGGCAGAAGACATGTCTCTGGAACAGATAATGAATACACAGTGGTTGTGAATGGGGAGGTGCTTTAGTTATTTTCTGAATTATTTAAGGACATGGTGCCACGTTCTCCAATTAAAGAAAAAAGAAGATGAAGGAAAATAGTGATAGGCATCAGCATCCTTTTCATCATCTCACAGCTTTTGTAAAGAAATTAGAACATGCACGTTCTGATCCTGATGTAATTTGAGTCAATTGCAAACTTGCTGCCTTAAAAATTGAAGCCTAGGATTGAGCCCTAAGTGAGCTGTGTGCTCAGAGGGGGCAGGCTTCTTTGATGCATGATTTAAACAGATGAACTAATTGATTTGAGGGGGTAGGAGACAAGTTAGCTACAGTAGGCCAGTGAATCTTGTTGCTAGGACACTGAGGGAGTGAGAGAAGGCAGGGTGAAGATAAAGAGAGGAAAAGAAAGGAAGTCCCCTCTAACAGGAGTGATGAGAATCCCAGCCAGCATTAGCCATGTTTATCCTATTTTTGATTT